TTTACACATTTCCTTTCAACAGTTGGTTGTAATATGTGAACAAATGGGGGGGAGAAACAGAGAGCCAGCCCACTGCAGACTCAGAAGTTTTTCCTCTCTGGTATACTTAAGTGATTAAGATGTTCCTCCTGAGCCAAAATGGTGACCTAGCCACTTATTTCTGGATCTTCACAATGTGTCAGTGGCAGATAAAATCAGTTACCTCTTTGATTGTGTGAGTGTGTGCACCACTCACACAAATGAAACATGGTAATTTGGAAAGCTGGATTTTCTTTTAACTGGCCAATTCTAGAGAACTAAGTTTATGATAAATGTCAAAGATAAAGAAAAAGACGTGGCTGTGGTGGTGGCTGTTACTTTTAATGTCTGATCACAAAGCTTAAAGGGGACATGGGACCGCCTGGTAATCCTATTTGTTTTCCTAGTCCATTCACTCCCCTAGCCTCTGAGGTGAGTATTTTAACCTTTTCTATCTCTTCTCAGATCTCTGATACCTTCAAGCTCAGCTGATTGCCTTGCTTCTCATTTACACTGAAAGAGGAGAAGCTGGGAGGAAAGAGTGTCTTCAAACTCTGGTCCTTACATGAACTCCACCTGCGTGTGCTCTTTGTCCTTCTGTATCTGAGGCTAAGATGTCACCCCCTCCCCTGGTAGACTAGATGCCTTCCCTTCTCATCTATTCAAGGACTCTACTTTTATTATCCCCTCTCTCCTACATTGTCTATTATTTCCTTTCTATGGGATCATTCCCATCTGTTCATAAGCATGCTGAATTCCCTCCCACTAACAAAAGAAAGAAAAACATGAGGAAAGAAAGAAAAAAATGAGAGCTTCCCTTGACCCGATATATCCCTCCAGCTATTACTTCATTTATCTTCTTGCCTTTATAACAAAATGTTCCCCAGATCACCCCTACTTTCTCCCTGCTCATTGTCCCTTGAATCTCCTTGAGTCTGGCCATGACCCCAGGCATTCTTTCCAAAGTCTTTGGTGGTCTCACACATGGTCACTCAGCAGCCTTTGATAGTCAATCACTTGATCACGTTTTTGATTCAAGCACTTGATCACGTTTTTTACTTGGCTGTTAAATGACCACACCTTCCAGAGCGTTCCTTCTCACCTTCCTTTAAATGAGTTTCTCATTTGTCTTACCTGCACCATGTTCCGTGTCTCTGGCTCTAGTATCATGTCGTCCCGTGTCCATTCAATTCCTGGAAGATCTAGTGCGAGCCTACCCCTTTCAGCCCACATCTATGGAGAGGGCTTCCAAATTTACATCCTCAGGTCAAGCCTGCTCCCAGCACTCCAGACTCATAAATTCAGCCCCCTCCTTGGGTGTCAAATAGGCACCTGAAACTTATCATGGACAAAACTGAACTCAGGGTTTGCTGCTCCCCAAGACTCACAAACTTGTTTCTATTTCAAGGTCTTTGTGCTGGTTTAGAACTCTACTTCCCCGAGTATCCACATAGTTTACTCTCACTATTCTAGGTTTCTGAGCAAATGTTGCCTCCACTAAGAGGCCTTCCCTGACTACCTAAAACACCCAAAATGGCACCCATCATGCTGTGCATGGGTACACTTGTTTCTTTCTTTCCATGGCATTTAACTGTGCCTGGTATTAAGTTACGTATTTGTTCCTTTAATTTCTGACTCTCCTACTAGATTGTAAGTTCCAAGATGGCAATATCACTTTTCTGTTTAGTACATTATTGCCTTCACAACGCCTGTGAATGACCAGACACAAGGTAGGTGCTCAATATATAAATGCATGACTTAATGCACTTTAGAAAAATCAGGTACTGCAACAGAAAATTCTTATCTCGCTGACAGCATTCATTCTAGTCCTGGCAAATAGACAGATAGAGTGATGATAGATAAGAGAGGGAGGAAGAAGGAAGGAAAACTAGTTAAAAAATAAAGTCATGGTTCAAGTAATGACTCTATATCATCTTACTACACTGATACCGACTGCAATGCGGGGGGAGGTGAGGACTTGATAATATGGGTGAATGTTGAGACCACAATGTTGTTCATAAGATTGTATATCAATAACGCTTTAATAAAAAAATAAATAAAGTCGTGGTTTAGAATGAGAATTATTCTTCATTACAAGAACTCTGGGTAAGGATGTACAAGCAGAAGATACGAATTCCTGTATGGGTTCTGCTACTTGATGGTAGGCAAGATGTTTTATGATTCTTAATGTTTCATTAATAAAGTTATTAGAAGAGGTACATGAGAGACTTTTCTGTTTTAAAAATTCTATGAGAAACATCTCTAATTTATACTTCAAAATGAGTTAGTGTTGGAACATCTTTTCATGACAGGGGTTTGAGTATTACGAATGAGTACATTCTTCAGACAATAAGAATAGAGATGCGCACCACCTATTGGCCATCAACTCTGTGCTAAGTATTGTCTTAAGTGCTTTTACATGCAATGTGGCATTTAATACTCAAACCAAGTTTGAGTATGAGTCGTTTGCCCAAGGGGCACCCTGCTTGTAATCCACAGAGCTAGCTAGGATTCACACCTACAGCAGTTGACCAACTAGATTTCAGTCTTAATTAAATGAGAGTGTTAACAGAAACACAGAGGAAGAGTGAGACAGAGAGTCTAAGATACGGAGAATGAAATAAGAGATAAAAACAGGCAGAGAAATGGATAGACTTAAAGACAAAAAGAGACAAGAGGCAGAAACAGAGACCTAAGCCAAAGGCAGCACGGCAAAACATGTGAGACTTGATTGAACTCTTTCTCTCTCTCACTCTACACACACACACACACACACACACACACACACACACACACACACTACTAATAATGCAAGAATTGTTGAAGCCTCATGTATTTCTAATACTTTCATCCTTGATAAAACTATAGCCTTGATCAAACAAGCACCAATAATATAAAACAGTGGCCATTCAATTTCCGAATTTGTTACAAAATATACTATTTAGTCCCTAGCAGACTGTACTCTGTGGGAAGGTGGCCAATCTTAACTTTCTCTGTGCTTCACATCTGGATGCTGACATAAGTGGAATTTAGAAAAAAAAAATCCTTCCAACAAATACCATAACTGTTTGAAAGGCGTAAAAAGTATGAGATTGTAACACATATATTTACAAAGCAACTCTTTACTCATTATTAAACCTGTTTATGAAGCTGTTTCTATATATGCATTAATGTGATTATTCTTGTACAGTATTGTAATTTATACCTAAATTCTGGCTGCTTGCTCTTACTAAAAATAGATTGTTGAATTATGCATTAGATTCTCAATGGACATGGCCCAGACTTTGATATCTGTATTGGCAACCTAAATGAGCTCCAATTTCATCTTCCGATTTATATATGATCCATGTTGAGGGAGCCGAGGGAAAATCTAGTCCATGGGATCCATAGGCAGACCAGTGCCCTGTATTGCTTTTCAGAGTGGGCCGTTCTCTGACTTGAGTGGTGCTTGATGTATTTTGTTTAGAGGCCTTATTGGCAACGCGCTTCCTAACTTATTCTTCCAAATATGATCCCGTGGAATCAGTGGGGTGGAAAATAAAACTGAATGATTTATTTCATGGAAAAAAAAATGTGTTCTCTTGTAACCACAAGGTGGCACAATGGTGACCAAGAATATTCAGCAGCCTCCTAATAGAATCGCACTTACCAGAGGCTTTTACATAATTGCTATTATTAATAACCTGTCGCTATTATTATCATTAGGATATTTCAGAAGACCAACATATCACCCTAGCCTTTGCTGAATACATGTTTTATTTTTTTTATGTTTTTCCTTCTGCCCTCAAAATCATTCATATTTTGCTCTCCCCCAACCCCTAGTCCCAGAAAGGACAATCAGGTGTGCAGCTCTTTCATCTTATTTATTGTCCAAAGCTCTTTAAAACAAAGAGCAATTAAGTTGCCTAACTGGAGAAGGATAAATGAAACTTTACATTGCTCTGCAAATAGGATGTTCTCAATTCAGTTTTCGTTACTCCATGACTACCTAAATATTCATTCATAGTATACAAGAATACAAAAGCCATTCTGGAAGCTTTGGTTTGCAGTAAAAGATCAGATTTGATATTTTCAAATTTCTATTTCTGTGGGCCCCACACCAGACATGAGATTGGAAAGGGCAGCCAGTATATTCCAATGTGCTGTCCATTTATTTATGGATGTTTGGTATTGGGATTAGACCATCTGTCCCCATGCTCAAGGGACTAGGAGACCAATGGTGTCTGGGAATCTAGGTGCTGCCATCACAGACTTACACTTATTGGAAGGGGATAAAAAAGCAGCCACTTCCTCTCAAATGGAGATCAAACACAGGCTGGCAAGGTACAGTTGTTCAGCCAGTCGTTCGTTGCCTCAGTCAGCAATCTGAAGAAGCGCCTCTTGACCTTAACACAACGTATAGCGTACATTAGAGAAAAAGAGGGCGGCTCTCCCCATCCCAGATGGGTTCTACGCTTTCTATTCTGGCACGTGAATGTGGCTCTCAGCCATCTGGGTGCTTTGCGCATTCATGGGGCCGGCCAGCACGTAGTGGGGCAGCAAGTCTTCCCATGTTCAATCAGCAGCAGCTTGTTTGGGCTGCGAGTGCTCATTTTTTGGATAATAAGCCTGCTCTTCCCAGGACCCTGTTAATTTGCTAGAACATGTTGAGAAGTATGAATATAATACATAGTATTACGACATAAAGTAGTTTAATTCTTATTCAAACAGTTTAAATGTAATGCCCATGAGATAGTTTACATAGGGGGTTATCCTGCAGTCTAATTTCTTCCTGGTTGGGTACCATTCACTAAGCCATGTATCTGAGAAGAGTATTTTCATTCTCAAAGCACCGTTTTAGTGAATCCCGATGCCTCATGCAACAGAGAGGAAGTGTGGTTTACCTAATCCAAAGTGGTTTTGGTAAGACAGAACACAAATCCTTTACATTCAGGTGGAAATAATTTATATTCCATCCACCAGATAATCACTCGTTTTAATTTTTTTTTTTTTGTTTTGGCTTAAGCCAATGTTAAAAGTTAAGGAATGTAAGCTAACTGATAATACTGACATGGACAGAGTTTGCTGCTGCTGATAAATAATAGCTCCCACTTTATTAGCACCTATTATGTACCCAGCCTGCTCTAACACCTTACAAATATTATCTTGCTTCATCCTTACAATTGTGAGGTGGGTACTGTTATTTTCCTCACTTCGCAGTTGAGAAAACTGGGGCACAAAAAAAGTAACTAAATTGCCCCAAGTCACACAGCAAAAACTAAGATCCAGAAGTAGGCAGTCCAGCTCTAAGTCTGCCTTCTCAGTACATCAAAAAGAACTATAGGGAGGGGAATTAAGAATCACAAATGTCAATTAAGTTGCTCCAAGTTGCATGATTAATCAGATGAGCAGCTGTTGTCAGCCCAGATCTACGCACCTGTCCCTGGTGGGCTCCTTTCCTTGTAGGGGTCCTGCCTCAAAAATGACCCCATCAGTTTCCTGGAAGAAAAACCCCACTACTCATTGTGTTTGTTTATTCCCTACGGCCGGCCCTGCCAGAGGGCTAAATGTTCCTGCTTCCAAGGGGAAAGGTTTGGTGATGGTAACCAGTACACAGAGGCGAACCCCACAATGCGTTAGCATTGCCCCAGTGAGCCATTTTTTTAAAATGGTATCATTTTTGTTACATTTGGAAAAAATTTACCAACATTCATCATTGCACTCACCAGCCATCTCTTGCATTTCTTTCCTTGCCCACACTCCAGCTTCTCTAAATAATCACTGATGAACAAACAGTTCAGTTCAGAAGCACTTCTAGAAAAAAAACGTGCTTCTATTTAAGCCTTGAAGTGGTCACTTCTCCCATTTAATGGTTACAGAAGAAAAATATCTCCACCTGCAGCAGCGTCGGGACTGCTAATGTATTGCCTGTGGGGATTCCTAAGAAGCCTGGTCACTGGTAGCTGTGTTTTCTTCCTCTGCCATCCCTCCGGGGCAGATCACTTCTCTAAGTTGGGGGTTTCCTCATAGGTAAAATGGAATCTGATTCAATGAGCTGATATCCCTCTGACGTCCTCAAAATCTTTGGTTCTGGAATTGGCAGCTGGCAGAGGTTAGCTCTGTCCATAGCTCAGCCCCTGTGGCTCGCCGCCCTTCCCCAGGCAAGCCAGTATCAGAAACAACAGGCAGCCTAATAAATAATTGATCTCCAGCATGTGCTTCTAATTCAAATAAAGAGCCTTTACCCACACTATGCAGCGCATGTGACTGAAGTATTTTATGTGGAAATCTGAAAGTTTCTGACAAGTTTCTGTAAAGAAGTTTTCACAGGGTCTAAACCTCTTGGGGCTCTTTCTGTCTCAAGTTCAAGTTCCTTAGACAGTGATTAAGGATGTTTTATAGGCCCCCGTGGTAAATGATAGCATAGAGAAAGAGCATTCTTTGCCTATGTAATTTAGCAAGACTTGATCTGTTTGGGTTTTCATCTGCTGGGCCTGCTGAAAACTCTCTGTGATGAACCTGTTTCTCTGCAGCCCGTGGAGGCTCCAAAGTTTGCATTGAAGGCCCGAGTTCAGTGATTGCCCAGCTCAGGTTGCCTTGTTTATTGAGAAGACTCTCCATCTCAGGCCAGCTGCTTTTTCTTGAGATGACAGACTGACTCAAGACCCAGGATTCTTTTACTCTGCAGTATTTATACAATAGCAGACATCAATCAGCCCAAACAGCAAAAGGCAACGGTTTATTTAATTCAATTCATTTACAGATTTTCCCCACTAGGTATTCAGCAACCAAGAGTCTATTGAACTTCAAAACATTTAGCCATGTCGATATAAGTCTCCAAACTGCACAAAAGATCGGCAACCCCAGGCATGGACATTCCCTAAAGAAGAGAGCTCTGGGGCACAGGAGAAGGAAAGATGCCACTTGACCCCCGCCACATCTCATGACCCAGGCACACACTCTTAAGAGGCTGTGTTAAGTTGCTTTCATAAACTCTGAGCCATGAAGGAGGAACTAGGGGATTCACTTGGATGTCAGGTTTTCCTCCCTGAGGAAAAGCTCCAAAACAATGCAGATCCGGGGCTGGTTCGCCAGCAACACTAAGATTTGGCCTCTTTGGTAAAATGACCCGCAGGAGCCCTTCCTTCTCTCTGCCCACACATTTATCTGAACTGAGTCCCAGCTACTAGCTTTCATTTTCAAAGACCTCCTAGCCAGGAGAACTGCGGCAGAGAATTTGCCAAACGCCTCTCCTGCTGTGTATGCTGTCCCTTGTGTCTCTGCTATCGGACTTGGATTCCGTGCGTGAAGCCCAGAGCTGCCGTCTCTGGAGAACGGGTCCTTTAAAAGCGAAAGGGAGAGAGAGAGGCCACACCAGATTTAGAACTGAGGCTGGGCTCTGGGATGGATGGAGTCCCAAGGGTATAAGTAGTAGGACTGGTTTCTTGAGGTCCACAGGCCAGGCGTACCTAAAAAAAAAAAAAACACGGGGGCTTTCTGCAAGCCCTTTATATGCCATGAATGCTTGTAATGGATGGAACTAATAAAACATTGTAAACCGAGTAGAATTTGGTGCCCAATTATTTCAATAGGAGTGGTCTAGAGAATCCACTTTGCACATAGCCTGGCCAGCTCAGAAGTAATGAAATACAAATAAAGTAAGATCTAGGTGCCTTGGAATACCCTGGGGGGTCTGAAACACATGAGTAGCAGTTTTACTTTTTTGCCAAGCTGTACAGTACTTGGTGGCTTGCCTGAGCCCTGGTGAAAGTCCCATGCATGTAATTCTTTGGGAGGAAAGGAAAGGAAGAAGATAAAGGGCCTGGTCAATCCTCTTATTAAGGTCACTCAGCCATCAGTGTCTCAGAGGGATTTCCAAGCCAATAGTAATTCTCTGTGTTTGTTTTACAATAATAGTGGCATTTCCTCAACTCCCCAGAAGATATGTGCTTTCCGCAGAGAGCAGCCCCATCAAATGTCCTGCACAAGTGGGACCTAACCTATACATCCTTTTCTCCTTTCCAGCCTTTGTTTCCTGGATAATTCCCTTCAGAAATATTGCTCATTGGGTCAGGTAGAAATCACATTTCTTTCCACTTATGCAGGAGAAGTGTGGAGATATGTAATCAAAGGCTGCATTCTTTTCTACTTGGCCAATTTCCCTTGTAAGGGGTGTTCTTGATAACTCATGCTCACAAAATGGCTGCAGGGGCTACAGCCACCTCATCTGAGGTTCAGGGGAGGAGAAGGTGAATGCAGAGAATACAAGGGTATATGCCAGCGAAGCCCACCCCAGTAAAAGAGCTTTCTTAAAGGTCATATCCAAAGAGTTCTGCTGATAGCTCATGGACCAGATCATGCCACACAAGGGCACTCCACACCCCACCCTCAGTGGCAAGGAAGACTGGAAAGCATAGCTGTTAATTTTTTTTAACTTGGATACACTGTTGTCCTAAATGGGAATATGTTAGTCAGGAAGAATTAAAGAATAAGATACTCAATGACATGGCAATTAAAAATATCCACCCCATTGTTCTGCCGCTGGGACTAAGCATATCTGTGCAAAACCCCTAAGAGAGCTTGATGGACAGATGGCACATGAATATAGCACTCCCTTATCTCTCCCTGTGCTCATTGATACTTCAAGGGCTGTACGCACCACACAGTGGAGCAAGGCCTTGATGCCACAACTTGTTTTCCATCTAATTAAATCACTGAATAATTTCATCTCTAGGGGGAAAATAAGTGCCGTAAGAAAAAATACTTGACTGACTTCTCATCGACAGAGCATCGAAACTAGAAATGGTGCCATTTTGCACACAGCCTTCTTGAAATGCTTACAGAAGCACTTAATTGTTAATTCAGATATAGCTGTTCTACAAGCTGTTAGAAGCCCGTAAACATGGTTTACAATTCTGCCTCTGTTTGAATTCTGGTGTGCTGTACCTGGTGCTGACCACCTCCAAGTTCAGTTTACATTAACTAGAATATTGGCACATGCACACACACTTTTTCTATTAAGATCTTTAGTATTAAGTAACTCCTTGGAGTGCCAAAGTATGTTATAAACCAAAACAGAAAATTAGATGGAAATATTACATGGGAATGATGACTTTTATATTCTACGCTGTTAAGAGGATTTGACAGTGGAGGCACATTACACAACAGAATATATTTATTAGACATTGATGTTTCTATTCTAATACCAACAAAGCAAGATTATGGATCAGCATTGTCCAGGAGGTAAAGCAAAGGGAAATGAAACTAGATGTGAGACAGAAACAAGCTAAAAAAAAAAAAGGGTCAGGGGAAGGTATCCCTCTCTGTTCATGGAGGTGGTGGTTGTTTCTAGGTAGTAGATCTAACACTCTAATGTAGCTGAGTAATTGCTGCTACAAAATTCAAATTTACATTGTGTATGCAATTTTTAAAATGGGTTTTGCATTCCTGAAACAAGACAGAAAGAAAAGCATTACTGAGATCTCCGGTAATAAACTTCAGGACAGTTTTACAACTTGTGACCTGAACAAATACTATACCTATAAAAAGTAGGAATAAAAGATTTGCACATGTGCATTTAAAAAGTGACTTTATTGCTCATAAGCAAAAGAAACAAAGAGGGAAAAAAAAGCAAGAAGGGAGGGAAAGAGGACGGGGAGAAAGAGAAGGGAAGGAGAAAGAAAAAAGAAGAAAAAATAAGAAAAACACCTTACATACCTACATATTTTACTTTTATTGGTAATCTTGGACTATGTGATTCAGTACAACTTATTTGTGTGCTTTAATTTAAATGGAGAGAGAATTTTTCCAGAAAAAGTGAAAACTATATGTATAATATACATTTAAATAAAATACACAAATTAAAAAACCATGACATATACTTATTGCCAACTCAGCAATAATGTAAAAAAGAAAAAACAGATATGTCTGAATGCAGCTAATAACTTCTCTTCATTCACAGATGATTGGCTTTGTGCTTAAAATAATTATGATTAACATTTTTAAATATGGAAATAGAATTAATCCCTTGTCCTAAAATGTAAGCCATTCTATAGCACTCAGCCTATCTTGTTAATATGCATTAAAATCACCTTAATTATGTTTCACAAAACCTTCACTTTGAATGATTGTTCCACATTCAGTGGAAAAGTTTCTTAAAATCCACTATTCAAGTCATTTATGTCTTATAAAGTGTCCAAGACAAGAAGCAGACATAACTGCTTCTGGGACACCTTGCTCTCCTCCTGGCCCCCCTCAAAAAAAGTGTCCGTCTTTTCTGTAGCCAGACAAAGCTGCAGTCTTACAGGACACAAATAGAACTTTTCTATCAAATGGATATCACTGCTATCTACTCCTCAGCCCGTCTCTATGGACCTGTTCCTTCGTGTTGTCCTTGGGAGGTGGGCATAGGAAGCCCCCTTGTCAGAGAATCTAGAAAGGTCACGTTTGCCTTATTTCTGCTCCTCTACATAAAGCTGTTTGTTGGAGTCAACCAGGGCAGGTAAGAGAGAAATACTACTCCGGTTAATGATGTCAACTTTTCTTCTGTCTTACGGATTAGAGAAAAAAAAGCTCCCAGCACTCATTGTTCATTACCAGGGCAAGTGAAATATAACTATCTGACTGGGTGGCATTGCCTATTTCTTACAGCCACGGCCTCTGCCTGCTGATACCAAGACACTATGAGGGGCAAACAGCAAACCTGCCAGTTGATTCCACAATGTTAGTGATCTCAACATTACAATCTACTGACTGCATATCTTGGTTAGACGACATGTTATTCTTATAGGAAACCACTCATTATACTATCGATTTTGATATATTTAAAATGTTGTTATTCATGCTAACTGCCTGTCTTCCTATTTTTATTGATTCCAGTATCCTCCCTTTGTTCCCCATTACTGAATAGTATACCTCCAGTTGAAGACACATGCATATGGGATAATAAAAGGAGATGAAATTTATGTTAATCAATTAGGCTCTTAATAGCAACCTGAACACAAAATTTGCTAGCACACACACACACACAAATGTTTCAATGATTGGATACTATTCTTTCTAGATTATCTTTTTGATTAACAAGTTCAACCTACTCTTCTTATCCCCCATCACCATCAAACAGCTATAACATTCTGTAAAAGCCCTGTTTATAACTACTTGTCTCAAGGTGACTGGCTAAAGAGTAAAATGATTGAGTGGTAGCCCTTGCAATTACAATTTAGGACTACATTTGAGATTCTACAGAAATTCTATTTAAATTCAGGAGAGCTTTCTGATAAGGTACTTCCTTACACTCATCCATGGCAGAGGTGGTGGTCTCCTCCGGGTTTTCGCAGCTGCTGACAATGGCAACTGCACTAAATGAACTTCTTCTGACCTTGGGGTCTGTGGTGCCAGATCCCCGGATTGGCGGGGCTTTTTCCATGTTGTGGAGCTGCTGGTCTTTCCAGTCTAATTGTTTGGCACTGCAAAAGGGAGCATATACTTCAACACTTCCCTCAAACTGTAAGCAGTTCACTTTGTAATACTTTCTCTTAACTTCCAAGACATCATTAAACCTATGGCCCCAGAGAATTTCTCGGGGAACATAGGAACTTCTGGATTGGTGGGATGTTCCCGTGGAATCGCCAGTATAGATAAATGTCACCAAAATCTCAAAGTTATCTTTGGCTACTGCTTTTCGGTCAAGGGCATACAGAGGACTCTCCTGGTCAATTTCATGAACAATAGTTACTGGGGTGACAAGGATGATCTGGTCATTGACTAATTTTAGGTCTTTAAATGCCATTGTCATCCGCCCCTCGCTATCTTCTGTGTAGCGGAGAAGCTGGGCCCTCACTGTGCCTTCTACCACGTGGTTTGGTCGGAAATCACCAATGCGCCACATGAGGCAAAGCTTCCCATCCCTCATGCCTATGAGTGCAAAATAGCTAAACCGAATGGTTTGGGCTCTCTTTCGAGCGGTTGCCATTTTGGCCAAGGCAGCTCCGATAATGAAGGTATTTATGATGCAGCTTAAGATGGACTGAAGGATCACCGTGAGCACTGCCACAGAGCATTCTTCGGTGACACAGCGGTAACCATAACCGATGGTGGTTTGGGTCTCAAGAGAGAATAAAAACGCTCCTGTAAAAGAATGGACGTTGTCAACACAAGGCGTGATGTCTGGATCACTTAACAGATCTCCATGATGAAAGGCTATTAGCCAAAAGATGGTGCCAAATGTCAACCAGGAGAGAATATAAGACAGAGAAAAGATCACAAACATATGGCGCCACTTGGTGTCCACAAGGGTGGTGAAAATGTCGACCACGTAGCTCCCCCATTCTCCAAAAATGTGCTTGAAGTACACGTTACAGCTGCCGTCTTTGAGGAGCAGACGTCTTTCTGCTCTTCTCTTCTCAGCTATAATATGCTCTGGGGGATAGCCTGGCTTTTTGGGGTCCACGTTTACAATGGGATAGCTGCTGCCGTAATAGCTCATTCTTCCCTATGCTCTTCGAGCATCCAGTTGAGCTTCGTAGTAGCAATAGTTTTAGATGCTCGCTACTGATTGGTTTGGGTGTTCACTTAAAACCTGTAAAAAAAATTAAACACACTTTAGCTTTGAATTTCCATCTTCATAGCAATGTACCAAATTGGAAGCAATTTTATGCCATCTGAAATAGCTAAGACTTCATTTGGCCGACAGAGACATTCAGTATTGATTAGTCATTTCAGTTTAGAATTCAACTCAGTCATTTCAGTCACTATGGGAACAAAATATGCAATTAGACAAAATAACATTTTTATATATGCATCTTTATAGAGTAGACACTCTGATTAACCTCAAAGAAGTCTCACTACCTTTTCTGACCTGACATGAAACATTCTTCTAATTTTTGTAATCTCTGGGCATGAAGGCATTTAGAAAACAAAATAATTTGTAAAATAAATGGACAAAATGTAACGCAGTTATTTGTCTAGCAGTCTTATAAGTTTTCTGCTTAAGTTAGATGCTTTCCCTTCTACAGAAGAAGGATGCAGTTAAGAGTTTCTACCTTCCTGTTGAATGTACCTTACATACCGGTTGCTATGATAGGTAGACCCCGCCTTCAGCACCTGCCGCTTCCTCTCTCTTCCACAGAGGATTTCTTCCTTGTGTACTTCCCAGGACAGAACAGAACTGACAGGGACACAATTTCAGATTCAACTCTTTCCCCCTAGCTCCACCTTTAGTCTTGAGAGGGAAAAAAACCTTAACCCCAGAGGAGTTAAAACCACTCCCAGGTAAGCTTTCAATAAGGTCTAAAATTGTTTCTGCATTTGTCTAGTACCATCCATTCTTTTTTGACACTGGAAACTCTTCTCTTTCAGTCTGAATAGAAGTCAAAAAGCTGCCAAAGTCACTAATCTTGTTTGCTAGGGAGCATACTTGCAACCCGACCCTTCTCTCAGGCTCTTCAGTGTGTCCCTGATGTTGTCACAACCACCCCAGGCGAAAATCACTTCTCTCCCTCCAAATTCAGTCTTTAAAAAGACCAAAGCAGAACATACAGTTCTTACTGCTCTTAGCAATAAGGTATATAGGTATAGGCTAAGGGTTTCCCAGCTCAAGTCTGAATTAAATTTTAAATATTCAAAAATAGTCAATGTTAAATGGTCTTTAGTTGCTTCTATGCAAAAAGAAAGAGTCACTGCAGCCCAGTCTTAATGGTTTAGTAATTATGAGAATGTTTTCTTTATAGTCTTCCTGTGCTAGACGGGCGCAGGAGCACATGGGGGAGGGGAGGCTTCAGACTAGAAGACCTCGCCCCTCCACTGCATAGAAAATCCAGGCGGAGTAACTGCTATTCCTGACACCGAGACTCACCCCACTTTGACACCAACCAAGGAAATTAATCACTAAGTACCTATTCAGCGCCTTCCAGGCTATAAAAGGAAGGAAAGAGTTAATGTCCCTCTGGTCAATAGGAATCACTTTTCTTCTTCTCCAGGGATCAGGTCCACTTTACAATAAACACTTTGTCTGATGGGCCACTGTGAAGCCAGACTCTGCTTGACACCCAAAATCCCACAAGGCATGTCCACGTTTCCCTCTGTCCATCTGCCCGTCCCTGCCCACTTCACCCACCCGCCCTCAGATCTGCATGGAGGGGTTACATGCCCTCCTTTGCCAGCTCTTCAGCCATGTTTTGGGGAGATAGTTGTATAATTTCAGGATATGACCCAGGGCAGACAAAATGCTTACTGGAAAATGGAATATAAAATGTTTCCACACATTTTATTATTTAACATTCATTGTAGGTTCCCATCTGATTTGTCATGGACACTTCACAAACAGAAGCAGCTGTTCAAGGATTCTGTCTCCACAGTCTCACCTGATCATTCCAGGCATGAGAATGGGGCTGGTTATAATCAAAGACCCATGTGATTTCTAATTAAAAAGCACATTTGGAGATAGGGTTGTTTTCTTGTTTAATGCTTCCAACCCAGACCCTTAAAGGGAACTGCACACACTGTGGGAGCCTGAGAATAAGAAAGCAGAGTTCATAAATCAAGAGCTACTGTGTGACTCTGCTCTTTTCTCTCGCCAAAAGGAAAAAGAAAGGTTATTTGAAATGGCATTCAGTTGGCATCATTTTGAATTCCAGTGGTGCCAACAACTGCTCTAAACAACCCATTTCAAAAACACCTTCAAAAGTATGCTAATTGGTGAATGAAGTTTCAATTAATACAAGCTACAAGCGAGCAAATTTGAGTATGTGGAAAATTTATATCTGAACAATGTAACAATTTCAGGGATACAAGTTACAGCTCTGAGAATTCTGTCCCAAACGCACCAAATTTCTGTTGTGGTTCATTATTATGATCATTCAACTTATTCAGAAAAGGGCTTTCAGATTCTGAGTACATACACTTTATTCATTTATCCTTTGATTCTCCAACCATGTGGATACATTTTGTAAAAGGCAATTGTCTTTCAGTTAAATGATAGATTAAGAACAAACTAATTTTATTTAGTCTTAACCTCATCTTACCCTACTCAGCGAACAAGAAATTTATGGAGGCTGTTTTTGTCAAAATGGATAGACAAAATAAATATTTATTCATCCCTTATTTCATATATTATAATTTCATCACTTTTCCAATTGCTGGACATTTGATGACATAGCATAAGACTTGTTGATTGGACATTCTGTATTTAATATCTTGCGTCTTAGGATTAAAAACAGCTTTAAAAGTACATTAATGCTTTCATAATCATCTTGTTACCATCAATGCCATCAAAAAAAAATGTTCCTACTTCTGTGTTTCTTTTTGATGTTGTGTTCCCTGCTCTCTAGAAACTGATGGTGACAATTTCATAGGTTGCAAAAGTCCCTTTTTTTTAGTGACAATGGAAATTTGATCTCTGCGATTACAAAACTGGAATAGGGTACAAAAGTACATGCTGACTCTAAGGTCCCCCTACAACCAGTTTCGAACTGTTTTGTCAAGTGTTTAATGACAAAGGTAGGAAAAGGGCTGCAATTTCTTTGCCATGACCTGGAATTGTTTTGCAGATGTGGCTAGAATAAGAGGCTAGAATACCCAGTGAGGATGGTGGCTCGTTTCCTGAGAACGCCATCCAAGCTTATAACAATTGGCAAACACACTTAGAAGGCATTGCAAGGCTCCCACAGTCACTCCATCCCACAGAGATACCTGGGAGGGAACTCAGAGGGGTCAGAGTCAGAAGACCCAGACCTCACTGTGACTTTCCTCCAACTTCGAGCATTGTATTAAATTCAGATTTTTTTAAATGTTTTCAATGGAATAGTATTCAGCTATAAAAAGAAAAGAAATCCTGCCATTTACAGCAACATAGATGGATCTAAAGGATATTATGCCCAATGAAATAAGCCAGGCAGAGAAAGACACATACCATATGATTTCACTTATTTGTGTAGTATAAAAATAAAGCAAAACAGAAGGAAAAAAATAGCAGTGGACTCATAGGTCCTGAGACGTGACTTGTGGTTACCAAGAGGGAGGGATTGGGATATGTTGGAGGGGAAATGTGAGGGGGATAAAGGGGCACAATAATTAGCAGTCACAGTAGAAGCTGGTAACGGGGATGTAATACAACATGGAGAATATAACCAATGATTCCGTAGCATCTTATTACATTGATAGTGACCACACTAGAGTGGGTGAGGATTTAATAATACGGATAACTATTATTGTTGATCCACTATGTTGTAATCTGAAACCAACATAAGATTGCATATCAATGATACTTCAATAAAAAAGTTTTCTAATCTACTTTGATGAGGGGAATTTGATTCTCATCCTCAGTTTTCTAGATCTTTGTATGAGTCCAAGGAGAAACCTTCCTGACTGAGTGTATTTCAAATGGGCTATCCACCTGCTAGAGAGCATTTTCAACAGAACAACTAAGCATCATGCATGTCTGTCCCCACTTCTTGATACAAAAAAGTGCCTCAGTCAGACTCACCAATTTTTAAGCAATTCCTCTGCCATTCTGCAGTATTTCAAATTCAGCTATTTACTAAGCAGACTATTCTTGTAGGTAATTCTTCAAACTTAATCTTTTCATCAGCATAGTGAGGGTATGACATAGTGGTTAAGACTTTACAATCCTGGTGTGATAATAAAATTCAGTCTTGCACCTAGCATCTACTTTATATAAATATTTTAATAGTAATACTAATTGCCTTTGTAGAATTTGAGATATACCACAAATAATGGCTGAAACTATCTTTGCTGAAATTCAGTAGTTATTGCCCATTGGCCTTTGAGATTAGCAAGTGCCTTCTTTAGCGTGTAAATGATTTACATGAAGTCATCAGTTGATCAAGTCACTTTTCTGGCAACTACTAGGTGAGATAAATTTTAGTGGACCTGTGAGAGCCCATAGGGTAGAAAGTAGAAAAGATGGTCTTAATTCCATGTGCAGATCATTGTCTTTGAAGACTGGCTTTAGGTGGAGCTCTTTGGTCTGCAGAAGGGGAGGAGGTTGGCAGGAGGGTCCACAAGACAAGGTATAGTCAGAGGGCACATGTGGGTGGGAGCTGTTTGCTGAGGAAGAAAGAGAGGTGTTGATGAGCTAGGGCAGAGCCCAGCAAATTAGGTTATTTTGCTCAAAACCAGTCACACAACTTGGTGCCTTGGCATTATGCCTGAGCCGTATCTTGCCCTGGGATCCTCATAAGACAGTCGGACAGACTGGGGTGGAGCTCTTCATTCAGCCATTGAACACCTGCTTCACTCACCACCTGCTAGATGCCATCCAGACCTCTCCAAACGCTCCCTGTCTCTTTAATTTCAAACACGTTCTCCTTCGTTAACAATTCCAAGGCATTCTCATGTTTCCTTCTCAGCGGCTGTCACCCCCAGATCAGCCTTGGTTTGACCTATAGCCTTTGTTCTCTCCCAACCCTACCTCAGCCCTCACCCAACTTCTCAGTGACCATGGATTTTGCCTCTTTCCTGATACAGCTCCACAATTTCTCCTGAATCAATTTAAGAAAGTTTTGTGACCATTTATGACAGGATAAGGGTTATGAGCAAACAGCTACGGCTACACTGAAA